TGTGTGTGTGTGTGTGTGTGTGTGTGTCTGTGTGTGTGTGTGTGTGTGTGTGCGCATATGTAAATATAAATTGGCCTGTCTGTATGAAACGAATATACACACATCTATCTGAGATCATATATTCGCAAACGGATCTGTTCCATGCAGTTCGACAGCTGTGGTTTGCTACACAAAATTTCATGCGACGCTGTTGGATATGCAATTACAGAATTTATGTATGTATGTGTTTGATTGTGATAATTATATATATTTGTGTGTGTGCGTGATTGTGATAGTTATATATATGTATATGTGTGTGTGTGTTAGTTGTTGTGAATTGTATTGTTGTATGATGTATATACATATGTAATAGTTACAGTGAATCATATATGTTGTATGGTGTATATATATAGATATGTAAATAGTCATACTGTATCGTATATACTGTATGTACAGATCTGTATCCATACTACACACATCCATACCTCTCACATTCATCTGGTCACAACCTTGTCTGTATCAATCAGTGTGAGTGGGATGACGGCCTACAAGGCACTGCAGGAGATGTTGGTGGATGTTGCGAAAATGCGCGACAACGCTAAGATATACAATGAAGCCGGGTCTATGGTGTGTAGATTGCACGTGTTTGTTTGTTTGTGCTTGTTTGTGTACGCTTGGACATACATGTATATGCTAATGCTAAGATATACAATGAAGCCGGGTCTATGGTGTGTAGAGTCGCACATGTTTGTTTGTTTGTACGTGTTTGTGTACGCTTGTACATATGTGTACATGGTAACGCTCGTGATACGTTTACGTACAGTTCCCGGTGCACGGCTTTTTGTACTACCAGTTACGCCACGAGAAAGCACAGCCACTCAGGAAGCTGGTTAGATACGCCATCGATAAAGTATATGAACTAGCGGATACATCAGACAGCGTAGCAATATGCGACATCAAAAACACCGAATTGGCGACACGCCCCTCACACCCCACAGGTGTGCGAAGACGCCGATGCGCTGTACGCCATAGCCGAGTCCAGAGTCAAACAATCGCTCAAGAAATGCGACGACGACCGTCGCAAATCCATCCAGGCCAAAGCCGAGGCAGACAGGGCCAACGACGAAAGGACCGCAACACTGTCGAGTGACGCCAAGACCCACTCGGAGGAAGGTGTGTAGGTTTTGATAAACGCGGTTTTTTCTGCGTGTAAACTTGGTTTAGCACCGTGCCCGGCGCGCCCTGTGGTGTGCAGGGGGACAATTGGTGTGCTTGTGGGAACACATGATGTATGCGCGTGGGAAGTTAATGGACATAGTACAAAGAGGAGTTGGCAAGTGGGTGAATGACGGGCCAGGAGCAAGTTGGGCAGTGACTAGTTGGATGTACTTGACTGATATCTAAGTTTATCCAGTCAGAAACTCGGTTTATGGGCGTGTGGCCATAAGGCTGGTATATAGGAGTGAATTTACCATCATTGCTGGCTTGAACATTGAACAACTGTGTATTTATTAGCTCTATGCTTCTCATTTATACCTTTTTTTTCTCGTTAAATCGACTACACACGTGCTGTATACTAATATGCATCCAGATTATAAATTCATTCATGTTGCGATTATATACAAATATAAACATGTGTATAAAAATATGTATCCATACATGTTTCCAGTCGTACGTATCCAACCTATAGCTTATCATACAAATACACATATACATATCCATATCCATATCCATATACATTTACATACATATATACATATACATATACATACACATATACATATACATATACATATACATATACATATCCATATACATAGGTATATATATATATGTGTGTGTATATGTATGTGTGTGCGTGTGTGTGTGTGTGTGTTTGTTTTTTGTGTATACTTGTATATATACATATTTATATATGTGTGTATGTTTGTTTGTGTATGTGTGTAAGTGTATTTGTGTGCGGATATAAATATATATATATATATATATATGATTGAATTTTATAATCATACTGACAATTATTCATAAACTTTTCCAGTCGCACCAGCTGCGCCAGTAGTGGCACTGCCCCCAGCACCCATCATAGACTACACCCCTCCACTGACTGATGAAGAGATGATCCAGGGTGTTATTAAATCTCTTACAAGGATGCTCAACCAGTTTACGATTGACGGAGTTCGCATTGCAAGCATAACAGGTATACACCGCATATATATATATATATATGTGTGTGTGTATGTGTGTGTCGGTGGGTGGGTGGGTATATATATATATATCTATATCTATATCTATATCTTATCTATATCTATATCTATATCTATATCTATATCTATATCTATATCTATATCTATATCTATATCTATATCTATATCTATATCTATATCTATATCTATATCTATATCTATATATATATATATATATATATATATATATATATATATATATATATATATATATATATATATATATATATATATATATATATATATATATATATATATATATATATATATATATATATATATATATATATATATATATA